TGTACTATATATATTATATATTGTACATATTATATATATATATATAAATTTAGATTTTTGATAAAGGGCATGTCACTGGAGAGACACAGAAAAAGAGTGGAAAAGTGAGAAATCACCTCCCCCCCAGGTGGCATGGCCACTTGCAGTCCCTTCTTCATTCTCCTCTTAGGATTTTGGGCATGCACATACATGCTCTTGGCATGTTTTTCAGGTCGCTGGGTCTGGGACTCTAAACTATACAGTTGGCCATGCTACCTTAACCACCATACCACCTGGCTGGTCCTATTTATTTATTAATTTATTTAAAAAATTATTTATTTATTTAAATTTGACCAAAGAGGGACAAAGAGAGAGAAGGAAACTGAGAAAGCAAGCCGCCAGGTCTGGGACTCAAACTGTGGTTGGCCATGTGGGAGTCCAACCTCCTTAACCACCACGCCACCTGCTGGCCTCTCCTATTTATTTTTTAAAACTTTAACATTTTTATTTATTTCTCCCACGAGAGAGAGAGAAAGACACCCCCAACAGGATCTTCACGCTGTGATCGATCCCAGCCTTAGCCACCCAGGATCATGGGCACATGCACAGCCAGAGTGTTCAAGAGAGGCCTTGGGATCTGAACCCTGGACTTCGTTAGGCTTCAGCATCACTGAGTGTTGTATACTGCTGTGCCACTGCAGCCTTGTGTTTTATTTATTTTATTTGACCTGCAGAGGGCTTTCCTGCCATGTTTGCTTCCTTTGTTTATCCTAAAACAATGTGAACCGGGGCCAGTAGGTAGCATGGTGGTTAAGTCCACTAGACTCACACATGGCAAACTGTGGTTCAAGTCCCAGACCTGGAGGCTTGCTTTCTCACTTTCACTCTCACTCTGTCCCTCTCTAGTCAGGTTAAAATAAATAAATAAAGTTAAATAAAAATAATTTTTTGAGAGTTTTTTGCTATAGGGTGCGTGCACTCACCAGGAAGACAGAGAGACAGAAAGCAAGAAATCACCCCCCATGGGGGATGGCCATACCTCAATCCCTTTTCTATTCTCCCCTCAGGATCTTGGGCATGCACCCACACGCGCCCGGTGTGAGTTTAAGCCACTGGGTCTGGGACTTGAACCGCTGTCAACTACATGGGAGTCCAGTGACATAGCCGTTATGCTATCTGCTGGTCCCAAATAAAAATAATTTTTTAAAAATGTGAACAGACCAGCCCTGTGACCTAGTGGTTAAGTGAGCGATATTCCCCCATGGCCGACTATTCCAGCAGGGATTGCATCATGACCAAAGCCCTTTAGGGGATGCTTCTGACCTTTCCTCCTTATTTCTCTCTGGCCAGTGCTTTCTGGCAATTAAAAAACAACAACGTGGGGCCAGCAGGTAGTGTGGTGGTTAAAGTGCTGGATTCCCATGTGGTGAACCATTGTTCAAGTCCTGGACCCAGCAGCTTCAAAAACACCAGGCTCGTGTGTGTGCCCAACGTTCCCAGAGGAGAATGGAGGACAAAAGATCGTGGTGTGGCCATCACCCCTGGGGAAGTAATCTCTCTCTCTCTCTTTAGCAAGTGTGGCCATCCCCCCCCTCCAGGAGAGCGATTTCTCTCTTTCTCTCTCTCTGCCTCTCTGTCTCTCTCTAGCAAGCGCACATGGCCTATGACAAAAACATAAAAACGGGCCAGCAGGTGGCGTAGTGATTAAGGCGCTGGACTCCCACATGGCCAACTGTGGTTTGCCAGGACTTGATGACTTGCTTTCTCACTTTCCCTTTACCTCTCTCTGGTCAAATTAAAAAATAACAATAAATAAAATAAAATAAGTAATTCTTATAAAAGTAAAACACCTAAAACCAAAAAGCAATGGAACAATATTGCAGAAAAGTTGAAAGACAGCTAGGAAACATTTATAATCAACTCTGCCATTCTATTTTCATTCTTGTATATTTCATTCTTCTTTCCCTCTTGGTCCAAGTGCATATTATATTGCTTTAAAAATACCAAAATACCTGGACCAGCAGGTGGCATGAAGGTTACGGCCCTGGATCCTATATGGCTGATTCCACGGTTCCAGCCCTGGAACCGGCAACTTGACTATCATGCTGGGCCTGTGTGTGTGCGTGCCCAAAATTCCCAAGAGAAGAATAGAAGAGAAGGGATTGCAGTATGGCCATTCCCCCTGGGAGGTGCTTTCTCACTTTCCCCCTCTCTGTGGCTAGTGTACATGTCCTCTAGCAAAAGCTGAAAGAAAAAAAGAAAGCTAGCAATCACAGCCTATTTCCTTTTATTATTGAAGATTTTGCTTCTGCTCTAAGTCCTCAAAACCAGAAACTGCTTCTCTGTAGGAGAGAGGATTCTCCCATCCCAGCAGTTGTAAGACTGGGAAAGAAAAGGAGAGATGTGAAATCTTCTCAGTCAACAGAATCTTAATAGGCAGGGCTCCTGCCCTGTTACCAATTAAGGGAACCTATTGTCACAGCAAAGCTGCGTTCATAATGTGTAAATGTCTGAATTAAAGCTGCGCGGCAGGAGTCCTCCTGCTTCCTCCGTGCTCCCTGCTCCCTGCTCTGCCGACTTACTGATGCCTTCCAGGCCCTGCCCCTCTTGCCATCTGTTGTGTCCTAGTCGTTATGTGGAGCCTATGAAAAGATCAGGATGTCTTTTCTGGCTGTGGTTAGGGCCATGTTCTAGCTTAATTTAAATAGGGAGGGCCAGTCTAGGAAGTCCTCAGCTGTGAAGGTAATGAGCACAAATGTTTGTGAGACCTCAAACATTTTCTTTCCTTCCTATGGGGGCACGTGTCTGTGTACGTGTGTGGGGGCTCCTGAGTCCCAGCTGCTGCGGCTGCTGCTCTGCACTGCATCGCGCCTGACCTGCACTCATTCTCCTCCACCCTGCCCACCCTCCACACTGTTCGTCTGCTCTCGCTGCCCCGCTGTTGCTGTTTGCACGCCCACCAAGCCATCTCTGGAGCAGCTGGTGCCCAGCCCCATGGTTGCCCTGGGGCCATCGGTCTGCCACAAGTTGTGGGATCTGGGAGAGGGAGTGTCTAGGCCAGATGAGACTGAGACAGAGCATTGCCACAAAGCTTCCGGGCCACCACGGACTTGGCAAGTTTTGCTGTCTAGAAAATTATGTGATTTTTTAAATGCCTGACCAACATTCACTCAGGGAAACAGAAAGGACTGGACAGAACAGCATATTACATAAAGGGAAGGAGGCCTTTCGAGGAAGCAACATGGCCTCCATCTTCTCTGACTCTTGGTTTCTCTTTATTCTCTCCCCACCCCTTTATCCCTACACACCCTCACCCCGGGGTGGCTCTGTCGGGTCACTCGCCCTTCTTTTGCCCTCTTCCCTTTGGCTGCCCCACAGCTGGTACGTGACAATGCAGATCTGCGTTGTGAGCTTCCTAAATTGGAAAAACGACTTAGGGCTACGGCTGAGAGAGTTAAGGCCCTGGAGGGTGCACTGAAGGAGGCCAAGGAGGGTGCCATGAAGGACAAGCGCCGGTACCAGCAGGAGGTGGACCGCATCAAGGAGGCCGTGCGGTACAAGAGCTCTGGCAAGAGGGGCCATTCTGCCCAGATCGGTGAGTGGACACTGCGGACAAGGGGGGACTACCACCCAGAGTAAATTCAGTGATTCCTAAGTGCCAGGCCACTAGATGATCGTTTCTTTTTCTTTTTCTTTTTCTTTCTTTTTCTTTTTTTTTTTTTTTGTAGAGGTTTTAGCTATAGGGCGTGTGCCCTCGCCAGAAAGACAGAGAGAGACAGAAGACAGAAAGTGAGAAATCGCCCCCCAGGGGGGATGGTCACGCTGCAATCCCTTCTCCTCCATTCTCCTCTCGGGATCTTGGGCACGCACGCACACGTGCCCGGTGTGAGTTTTAAGCCACCGGGTCTGGGATGTGAACCACAGTCAACTCCATGGGAGTCCAGCAACATAGCCATTATGCCAACTGCAGATCCTTTTTTTTCGGCACTAGATTATTGTTTCTAACCCACTCCTAGCCTCACTGTTCCTCCACCCCACGAAAAGTCAAAAAGCGATGAGTTATGTTGTAAGCGACTCCGTGTGACCCAGCTAACTGCCTCAGGGACCAGGGCAAGTGCAGGGTGATAAACAGCTTCCTCACGTCCGCCTGTCCTTTCTTCCACAGCCAAACCCGTCCGGCCTGGCCACTACCCGGCATCTTCACCCACCAATCCCTATGGCACCAGGAGCCCTGAGTGCATCAGTTACACCAACAGCCTCTTCCAGAACTACCAGAATTTGTACCTGCAGGCCACACCTAGCTCCACCTCAGACATGTAGTGAGTGACACAGGCATGGGCTGGTGTCCCAACCCAAGGCTCTCCAGACCCTAGAAAACATGGGGTTGGCTCAGTTCTTGGTTGAGAGTTCATTATTTCCTAGGTAGTTTCCTCTCTAACCCTTTTAAAACCACATACCTGTGATTGGAGGTGGATGTCTCCCCTCTCACCCTGCGACCATGTTTGTGTCTCCCGGGGCCGGGGGTATGCATGACTGTCTCTGAGAACGAGCAGCCTTAGTGGAGGGTACGTGGCTGAGGTGGTGTGTCTCTCCTCCGCCCATCCAGCTTTGCTAACTCTTGTACAAGCAGTGGAGCCACATCTTCCGGCGGCCCCTTGGCATCCTACCAGAAGGCCAACATGGACAATGGTGAGTGAAAAAGATGGGCCATCCAGTTTTTGGGACCCCCAGGACAAGCTGAGATACATAAGGAAAGTAAGTGACCCTAGTCTACAACAAAGTGAACTGAGCTTTTCTAGTGTGCCAAGCCTTCAAATAAAAAGATATGTTGTGGCCAGCAAGTAGTGTGGTGGTTAAGGTGCTGGACACTCCCATATGGCTGACCATGGTTCAAGTCCCAGACCTGGTGGCTTGCTTCCTCACTTTCTTTCTCTCTGTGTGTCTGTCTTCCTCTGGTCAGATAGAAATGATTGAATGAATAAATAAAATTAAAAGTAATAATTCTTTTTTTGAAAGATTTTTTGCTCTAGGGTGCATGCGCTCGCCAGAAAGACAGACAGAAAGCGAGAAATCACCCCCCCAGGGGAGATGGATACACCGCAATCCCTTCTCCTCCATTCTCCTCTTAGGATCTTGGGCACACAAGTACACGTGCCCGGCATGAGTTTAAGCCACCGGGTCCAGGATTCAAACCGTGGTTGACTGCATTGGAGTCCAGCCACATAGCCATTGCACTAACTGCTGGTCCCAAATTAATAATTCTTAAAAACAAAAACAAAGATGTGTATTGGGCCAGCCAGTGGCGTGGTGGTTAGGGAGGCTGGATCCCACATAACTGACTGCTGTTTGAGTTCTGGACCCGGGAGCTTGAAAGACACACTGAGAGTGTATGTGTATGTGTGTGTGCCTGAAATCCTGACAGGAGACTGGAGGGGAAGGGACTGTGATGTGGCCATTACTCTTCGGGGAGTGCTTTCTCACTTTCTCCCCCTCTCTTTGTCTGATAAGGGCACATACTGATAGCAAAAAGTAAATAAATAAATTTTTAAAAGATGCATATTAAAAAGAGAGTGACCCTGTACTGTAGCTCTAATCCTGCCCATCCCTTCGTGTCTTGGACTCTTAAAAGCAGACGTCTCCTATCTCTGTACCTGCTCCCACCTATACTTTCTTCTCCTCTCCTTAGCGAGGGGGTCAAGGAGGCTTTTTTTTTTGGAGAGGTTTTTGCTATAGGACCCATTCGCTCACCAGAAAGACAGAGACAGAGAGACAGAAAGTGAGAAATCACCCCCCAGGGGATATGGCCATGCCACAATCCCTTCTCGCCCATTCTCCTCTCGGGATCTTGAGCATGCAGGCACACACATGCCTGGCATAAGTTTAAGGCACCAGGTCCAGGACTCGAACCGCAGTCAACTACATGGGAGTCCAGTGACATAGCCATTACGCCACCTGCTGGTCCCAAGGGAGGCTTTTTCTCAAACACAATAATGTTGCAGCTTCAGGTTGCCGAGGAGAGCACCACAGTTGACCTTTTCTGTAAGGATTAGGCTGGGAGGGGACAGGGAGACTTATTTCTAACACCTAATCTTTTTTCTTCTGATCCTGTGTTCTCGATGACCTCTTCAGGAAATGCCACAGATATCAATGACAATAGGTACAACTTTCCCTATTACCTTTGGGGTCTCTGGGTGGGACCAGAAGAAAAGGTTAAGTTCCCTTGTGCTCAGTTTAGAGGTGCCCTGGAGCCTTTGGGGGAGGAGGAGGAAATGAGAATCATTCTTGCCATGACTGCATTGTCCAGGAGGTCCCTGTCATTCCCAGCTCAGAACACTGTCCCCATTGGCAAACCCCCTCTGTGGCTTCACCCCACTCCTGTTACGAGGTCTGGGGAAAGTCCTGTGGATATCTGATGACGTGGGTTTCTCTCCTGCCCTTGGGAAGTTTGTGACCTTGGGTGAGGCAGCTTTATCCTGGCTTGAGTTTCCTCGTGCTCCTGTGACACACGCAATCGCAGTTGCAGTCCCTGCCCGTCCTTACCTCACAGTAATGCTGTGGGAGCAAAGCGAGGATGCAGGAATCCTTTCATCTGTGTGGCGTTGATCACGGTGGGTCTCTTTCTCCAGGAGTGACCTGCCGTGTGGCTATGAGGCTGAGGACCAGGCCAAGCTCTTCCCTCTCCACCAGGAGACGGCAGCCAGCTAATCTCCTACGTGGACGGCTGCAAACCTGCACTTTCAGGTAGCTTCGGGCTGCTTCCTCTCAGCAGCCTGGTTGCCTCGGTTCTTGCTCAGAGCCTTTTGATTTTCTTGCCTTTTTAATTTTTTTTCTCTTCACCCTCTGAAAACTTTTACCAGGTGGTTACACCTCAACGCCTGCTTTCCTCTGCTGGGTTTACACTGGTGCTGCCCCCTGTGTTCTAGACCCTGCCCACCCCACTCCTTACTTTCCCTCTGGCTCTAATTGGAACCACAGTATTGCCTTTCGGCCACTAGAGGTCACTGCCACACAGCAAGAGAAGTGACTAGAATGGCTCAGCTCAAAAAGTTCGTGGAAAATGTGTACCATGAACAAACTGTTACATAGATTTTAAAAACGCTCTCACCAAAATAAACTTTTACTTTTTTTTTTTTTTGAGAGGTTTTCGCTATAGGGCACGTGCACTCGCCAGACGGACAGAGAGATACAGACAGAAAACGAAAAATCAGCCCCCAGGGGGGATGGTCAGGCCGCAATCCCTTCTCCTCCATTCTCCTCTCGGGATCTTGGGCACGCACGCACACGCGCCCGGCGTGAGTTTTAAGCCACCGGGTCCAGGACGTGGACCGGTCAACTACGTGGGAGTCCAGCGACATAGCCATTACGCTAACTGCTGGTTCCAATAAACTTTTACTTTTAGGCCATTTTTCACGAACCTTTGGAACCCCTTGTCATAGGAGACCATGGGGAGGTCATCTCACCCTCTCCTACCTCACCTTAAAGCTATTTTTGGATGGATAGGTATTTTCTGAACTAGGACGTCTCCGGTATAGGCGATAGTTGGTTTATTCATGCCCCTGTGTCCTGTCCTCCCGTATTTGTGCATGCCACCAGTAGGCTGGAGGGAATGCCCTGCGAGGTCTTCCTTTTTGTCCCGCTAGCGGCAGTGTCGGGGCTCCCTTCCCATACTGCTGGACACGTGGGAAACAGCTGTCTCCCCACCTTCTAGGTCCCCCCATGTCTGCTCCTCTCCTGTAGCAGCACAGGCACCTTCCTGGTTCTGGTGTGTCACCAGGCTTCTTGCCAAGGTTGCTTTAGGGTCCTGAACTGGACACCAGCACTGGGATTCAGTTTTCTTGTCCACTTGGGTCCTTAGAAACCAGAGAACATGGCCAGTCTCCTACTGGACTGCTTCCAAGTCAAGCCCTCTTGTGGGGTTTTTCAGGATAGTGGGCCAGCCACCAAAAGGCAGAAAGGCATGCAGAGCTGGCGAGGGGGGTTAGGGAAGGTCTAGGGGTGGAGAAGCCGGGCAGGGGTGCAGGTGGCATCTGGCTGGCTGTATTAAAGAAACAGGCTAATAAGCCAACGTGTGTGCAGGGGCCACCTGTGCCTGTTCAGTGGCTGGGCTGCAAACTGGTTCCTCACACCCGCTTTCTCTTTTTTTCCCAGTTTCTAAGAGGGACTGAGGCCTCTTCTCTCAGCATGCTGCAAACCTGTGGTCTCTGACACTAACTCCCTCCCCGACCCCTGTTGTTCACCTGTACTATGTTGGAGTCTTCTCTTACTTACCTGTATCTCTTTGTACTCTGTATCTTATATCAAAAGCTGCTATGTCTCTCTTCTCTGTCTTACTCTCAAAGTACCTAACGATGTATCTAGTAATTTCTAAGCATAGTCTACCCTCCTCGTTTGGGGTAGTAGGGAGGAGGGCGAATGTTCTTTTTTCTCTCTCATATACTCGTCTCTCACACTGAGTGGTGTTAGTCACTGAGTAGAGGTCACAGAAATGATAAAAGAAAAAACTGGAGCGCGAGGGCTGTGATCCCTCTCACACACACACACACACTCATGTGCACACACACGCACACACACACACAAAGCCTTAAGCAGGAGAATGTCCTAGCATCCTAAGATGACAGAGAAATAGACTCTTCCTTCCTCCTCTGGCTCATGTAGCACGGGAGGGTAAGATGGAAGGACGGCTAAATTATACACAGACTTCTTCATCCACCCCTCACCTGAATCGGGATTCCGGGTGTTCACCTGGGCCTTCCAAAGTCTGCCTTCCACTTCCCTCTCGCTGTTTTCCCCTGGACTAAAAAGCGCTCATTGCTCAAGGGACCTTTCCCCTGTCTCTTGGGAGGTCCTTTTGATATTCTCTACCCCCCCCCATCTCAGCACCACAACCGAGCTGAGGAAAGATACTTGGAAAAGCCAGGGAGGCAGACCCCTCCCCCCGGGCTGTTGAGGCTGCTCATCTGCCCATGGGGATAGTTGTGGGCACAGGTGTGGGGGTGGGCCTTCCTAAGGACTTCCGGTCGCAGTGCCCTCAGGGAGAAGCCAGGAGCAGATTCCTTTCTCTACCCCACATTGGGTTGCACGTTCCTCTCATCTCCACCTTTCGGTCAGAGGCTTCCGGTTCACTGGCAAAATATTGCTTGGTAAATGCCTCCTTCCAGACTGGAACCTGACTTTTCCCCAGCATACATATTTCCCCCAAAGAGTTCCTTTCCTCCTGTCCCCATCTGGTATTAAGTGCACTTTAAAGAAGGGGGCAGGGCAGATTTCTAGAGGTAGAGGAGCCGAAGGGCTTGACCCCAGGGTTCTTGCCTGGCCCTTCTCAGCCGTGTACCCTCTTTCCCATCATCGGAGGACCGCTGTTTTAGTTCTAGATGGTCCTTTCCTTCCACATGGTGCTAAGGTGGTTTCCCAGGTAACGGCAGGGGCGAAGGTGGCCAGCCAGGCCATGAACAGAAGTCTGGCATCCAGATACTTAGTCTCATGTAGGATGAAAGACCAGCACCCTCCAGCAGCTTCTTCTCAGTCAGGAAGGAAAGCTCAGTGTGGGTACGAGCTGGTAAACAGAAGCTGTGCTGGCCCCAGAACTCCTTTCAGGGCAAGTCCCTGCTCCCTTTTCCTGTCGGGCCCCTTTTAGCAGTTAAGGAGAAACGCAGGGAAAAATAAAAACATACCAGAGGGGCATGGAATAAATCTGGAGTGGTGATTTTCAAACATTTTTCAAAACAAATCTTATACAGAACCCCGACATAAAAAAGTAATGCAGACCTGGGCAGTCTGTATTATTATTATTATTATTGTTATTATTTTGGTGGAAAATGCTTTATTAGTTGAGGAGCCCTTGAATAGTCCTAGGAGACCCCAAAGGGGGCCTCTCCATAGAGTCATTTGGAAACCACTGCTCTGAGGAAGGGGGTCCAACCTGGTTCCCCTACACCAAACCTACAACTGAGAGGAAAGGGGACAGGGGGTGGATGAGACGCACTGTCCCCAGACCCAGTGGAGAGGAAGACACCTGCACGCCTGTGGACTTAGCTGGCATCTGCCAGCAGGGCACCTATGGATCAGGGGCTTTATGTAATCTTGCCACCAATGGTTCTTTCAGAAAATACACAGGAAAGGTGAAGGTGTGAGGCAGATGAGAAGAGAGGGGACAGAGGAGCAGCCTTCTCTTTGGCAAGATGTAAGGGAAATAATTCACTTATGTAAGAAACAGCACACATGACCCTTCACTGGAAGCTTCACATTACACAATCCTCCTCCTCTTCCTGCTCCTTACCTTCACGGCATCCCTTTCAGAGAGCCAGGGTCACCACAAGGGGCACCTGGCCTGCCCACTCACATCTGCCAAAATGTTGCATGCGCGCGTGGAAGACAAACTGAACCGCACAAACCCCAGTGTGTATTTACTTGGTGTACATAGAATCTTTAAAATAAAATAAATCAAGGACTCTACGTTGTTGCAGATCTTCTTTATCTTTCCTGTCTCGCTCCCTTCTTTACATGTAATGGCATTTGACGATGTGGTATACGTCCTTCCAGGTGCTCTTCTATATATATATATTTTTTTTTTGAGAGGTTTTTGTTATAGGGCACATATGCTCGCCAGAAAGACAGAGACAGAGAGACAGAAAGAGAGAAATCACCCCCAGGGGGGATGGCCATGCCACAGTCCCTTCTCCTCCATTCTCCTCTCGAAATCTTGGGCACACATGCACACGCACCCGGCATGAGTTTAAGCCACTGGGTCTGGGACTCGAACCGCAATCAACTACATGGGAGTCCAGCGACATAGCCATTACACCAACTGCTGGTCCCAACTCTTCTGTATATTTACATGTAAGGTTTTTTTTTTCCCCCACTTGACAGTATACCCCAGAGATCTTTTCATGTTAATATACATGAATTAAACTCATTAAAAATATATTTAAATGTTCGTATACTTATTTTGTAATGCATTCAACCATTCTACTATTGGTGGCTATCTACGTTGTATATCATTTTTTTAAGGTTTTTGTCACAGGGTGTGTGCACTTGCCAGAGAGCAACAGAGAGAGGGAAAGTGAGAAATCACCCAGGGGGATGGCCATGCCACAATCCTGTCTCCTCCATCCTCCTCTCAGGATTTTGGGCACACGCGCACTTGTATCCAGAGTGACTTTCTATTTTTTTTTTTTCCCCAGAGTGATTTTCAAGCTGCTAGGTCTGCAACACAGACTGCTGTCAGCGATGTAGGAGTTCGAAGCCTTAGCTACCACACCCCCCACTGGCCTCAGTTGTGTATAAGTTTTAAACATTGACCTCCTGTAATCTTCATTTTAAAAGTTTTGTTTATATATATTTATTTATTAAAAATATTTTGCTTAACTTATTTAATTTGACCAGAGAGAGACAGAGTAAGAGAGAGAAAGAGGAGTGAGAGAAGTGAGAAAGCAAGCCGCCAGGTCTGGGGTTTGAACTGTGGTCGGCTGTGTGGGAGTCCAGTGCTCTTAACCACCACGCCACCTGCCGGCTCCTATATTTTTATTTATTTATTTTTTTTTGGGAGAGGTTTTTGTTATAGGGCGTGTGCGCTCGCCAGAGAGAGAGAGACAGAGAAACAGAAAGCGAGAAATCACCCCCCAGGGGGAATGGCCATGCCGCAATCCCTTCTCCTCCATTCTCCTCTCGGGATCTTGGGCACGCACACACACGTGCCTGACGTGAGTTTAAGCCACCAAGTCTGGAACTCGAACCACAGTCGGCTACGTGGGAGTCCAGTGACATAGCCATTATGCTAACTGTTGGTCCCTCCTATATTCTTATTTTATATTTAAATGTTTTCTTTTTTTACGAGAGAGAAGGCTAAAGAGAGGTATTTGACAGGGTCTTACCACGCCCCGTCCTTCCGCCCTAGTCTTCCAGTTAGCGAGGGTTACAGGAACACGCTGCACCCACCGGCATGTTTAGGTCAGTCCAGGATCCAAACCCAGGCTTTCTGGGCAGCTCCAGCATCACGCAGCAGTGCCCTGCTGTGACTGCCCTGCGTAATTCTTGTGGGTTGGCGTAACAATTGTACAGATGTATGGGGTGCACGGTGCTGTTGGCTTTATTTTTATCCAGACCACCTCGGTCTCAGCATTAGTCCCTTTCTCTCCAGCGCGTCACCATCCCTCCCACGCCAACAGCTTGATTCTCTTTCTCCATGATCAACTACCACAATCACCCTCCAACCCACAATAAAAATGATTTTCCTTTCCTCATGACAGAGTGTGTGTGCAGGCACACGAGAGTGAGATGGAGACAGAAGTACCCTCTGCAGGATTTGCCAGTGCCGTGCTTCCAGTCCTCCAGCCTGTTGGCTCTTGGCACTCGTGCACGTGCCTGGCATGTTTTGGGCTGACCAGGTCCGGGACTCAAACTGTGATGGCTACATGGGATCCAGCTTCTCAATCAGCATGTCCCAGCTGTGCTGCGGAGCTGGCCCAAGCCTATTTTGAAGCAGACCCAGCCTATCTTTTAGGCTTATCCCTCAAAGCATCTGAAATGGAGAAAACTACCAAACTATTGAAGCAAGTAAACACAAAGAGCCTACACACCTGCCCGGACCTTCGGTGCTGCGCCACATTCCTTCTGAGTACCGCTCAGCTCTCTCTCCTGCTTCCCAGAGCAACTGGTCTAAACCCTTTCTCCTCAAGCCCCCTTCCCACTCTCCTCTCTCAGGCAACAACTTTGTCAAAGTGACTGGGATGGACTTCTTCATTCTCCCCAATACCCACACACTTACTTATATCTGCACATCTCCTGTGCTCCCTTTTGACAAGTGATAATGTGAATTCCTTTAGATACTTCATTCTATTTTTTTAAAAGAGGTTTTTGCCTTAGGGCATGTGCACTCAACAGAAAGAGACAGAGACAGTGAGAAGGAAAGTGAAAAATCAACCCCTGGGGTGATGGTCACATGGCAATCCCTTCTCCTCCATTCTTCTCCCAGGATCTTGGGCACACACGCACATGCACCTAGTGTGAGTTTCAAGCCACCAGGTCCCGGACTCAAACCATGGTTGGCCATGTGAGAGTCCAGCAATGTGACTGCTATGCCATCTGGTGGCCCTGGTACTTAATTCCTGAGATACATAGTAGAACCTCAACATATAAAATAGGTGAAAGGGGTACAGACTTGGGCAGTTTGCATTTTCTTTCTTCCTTTCTTTCTTTCTTTCTCTATCTTTCCTTCTTTTTCTTTCTTTCTTTTTTTTTTTTTTTTTTTCTTTTTTTTTTTTTCTTCTTTTTTTTTTTTTTTTTTTCTTTTTTTTTTTTTCTTCTTTTTTTTTTTTTTTTTTTAGTTTTTGCTATAGGGTACATGTGCTTGCCAGAGAGAGTCAGAGAGAAAGTGAGAAATCACCCCCCAGGGAACAGCCATGCCACAATCCCTTCTCCATTGTTCTGTCAAACTTGCTGCCAGTGTTTTCAAGCCACTGGATCTGAGACTTAAATCAAAGATAGCCAGGGACCAGCAGCTGGCGTAATGGCTATGTCACTGGACTCTCATGTAGTCAACTGCGGTTTGAGTTCTTGGGACCAGCAGGTGGCGTGGTGGTTAAGGCGCTGGACACTCCCACATGGCTGACCAACATTCAAGTCCCCAGACCTGGTGGCTTGCTTTCTCACTTTCCCTTTCTCTCTATCTCTGTCTCTCTCTGGTCAAATTAAAAATAAATGAACGAATAAATAAAAATAAATAAATAATTTAAAAAAAGAAAAAACAAAGATAGCCAAATGGGATCTCACTCATTAACCTCCATGTCACCTGCTGGCCTAGTTTGCATTTTCTTTAACTTCTGTTTCATTAAGCTCTTCTTGTTAGGTCTCCCTTTTAGAAGAGTCTTTCTCTCTTTCTCTTTTAGAGAGAGATTTTTGTCATAGGGCATGTGTGCTTGCCAGAAGGACCAACAGAAAGCGAGAAATCACACACACACACACACACACACACACACACACACACACCTGGAGGGATGGCCACGCTGCAATCCCTTCTCCTCCATTCTCCTCTCTGGACTTTGGGCATACATGCAAATGTCCCTAGTGTGAGTTTAAGCCACTGAGTTCAGAACTTGAACTGTGGTCGACTGCATGGGAATCCAGCGGCATAACCATTATGCTATCTGCTCCCTTTACTATGTTTTTCTCTGTAAGCAACACTACATCCTACTTTCTCTCTTTTCTTTTTAAAAAAATTTTGCAGTAGGGTGGGAGAGAAAGTGAGGAATCACCCCCTCTGCCAGGTGAGGGGTGACCAGGCTGCAATTTCTTCTCCTCCGTTCTCCTCTTGGGATTTTGGGCATGCATGCACATGTGCCCAGCATGTTTTTCAAGCCACTGGGGCCAGGGATTCCAACTATGCAGTCAGCTATGTGAGATCCAGTCATGTGAACTACAATGCTGCCTGCCTGGCCCCTACTTTCTTTCTGTCTCCCTTAAAAAAAATTTTTTTTTAATCTTATTGTCATTATTTTTACTTTTTAAAAAAAGTTGACCAGAGAGAAACAGAGAGAAGGAAAAAAAGAGCCAGGTGCCAGGTCCAGGACTTGAACCATGGTCACCCATGTGGGATTCCAGCCACCTTAACCACCATGCCACCTGCCAGCCCCTCTTTCTCCCTTTTTTTATTTCAGGTTTTTGCCATTTGGTGTGTGTGATTGCCAGAGACAGAGTAGGAGTGAGAGATTGCCCCTGGAGGATGACCATGCTGCAATCCCTTGTTCTCTGTTCTCTCAGGAATTAGGCACAGATGCACATACACCTGGCAGGATTTTCAAACTGCTGGGTCCAGTGCTTAATGCATGATCGACCCAGTGGGAGTCTTGAGCCATAACCACGATACCACTTGGTGGCCTTTCTACTTGCTTTCTTTTTTTTAAAGAATAATGTATTTGGGGCCAGTAGGTGGAGTGGTGGTTAAGGCACTGGAATCCCCACATGGCCGACTGAGGTTCACGTCCCGGACCTGGCAGCTTGCTTTCTCACTCCTCCCCCCTTCCCATCTTTCTCTGGCAAACTCATGTGAAATAATAATAAATCATTTATTATTACTATTTTTCAACCTGGCCAGAGACAGAGAGAGAGAAAGGAAAGGCAAGAAAGCAAGCTGCCACGTTTGGGACTTGAACAGCAGTCAGCCACATGGGAATCCAGTGCCCTTAACCACCCTACCACCTGCCAGCTCCTCTTCCTGCTTTTCTTTTAAGAGGTTTTTCCTACAGGGCACGTGTGCTCACCAGAAATACAGAGACAGAGAGACAGAAAGCGAGAAATCCCCACCCCCACCACCACCCCCAGAGGGGATGGCCACGCCACAATCCCTTCTCCATTCTCCTCGCAGGATCTTGGGCACGCACACACATGCGCCCGGTGTGACTTTAAGCCATTGGGTCCGGGACTCCAACTGCGGTCAACTACAGGGGAGTC